TTGTTGGGAGCAAACAAGAAGTCTCACATCGATTGGGAGAAGAAAAGAAATCCACCATATAACCCAAGTGGGCTACTCCATCCATTGCCAATTGGTTTTGGGTTGGAACCTCACTTGGACTTGGTGGTGTGGGCTTGGGCCGGTCAATTTGCTCATTATTTTCTCTACAATAGCTTATTAAATTTCAACTAGCAATTCAATCCGATAAAGACTCAAAAAAATGAGTATTCGAATTTTAAGATTTGTTTGCTCAATAAACTTGCGCTTGCAATATGATTGATACGTCTAACTTACAATACAGTACTTGTGGAAGAAGTGGACAGTGGAGATATCTTGTTAACTTGGAAATTCTTTGAGGCTTATTTTATATCTCCATGTAGGATTCTCTTATCCAAGATTCCCAATTCGACGTCTCTCTCAAATCTCAACCTGAATTCTTTTCACCACTCAGCGTTCCAATATATTTACTTACTTAGAGAGTTTCCCTTTTTCCCATTTTGTTACTTCTGTTAGTTTCTTTACATGCACACCATGAATGGATCGATGCTCTCCAGCAAGACCCTCAGACAGTTGACATGGTGTTCATTAAATAAGTGTTCCAAAACTCACAGTTTATGCATAATCATCTGATAGTCGTCTGGAAGTTGTGTTAAAGATGGTTTAGTTGTTTAATGGAGCTTACCCTTATTTTTGTTCTTCCATTTCTCTTTTACAGGTTTTGGGGTCTATTTATGGGGTTAGGCTCATTCTTGCTGCATTTCCAGAAATAGGACGTGGGCCACGTCTGAATGTTGGCATAGCTCGAGGTGCATTGACTGAAGGTTTTTTGACGTTTGGAATTGTAATTATATCCCAAGGGCTCTCGAGAAAAATTCCTGGAAGTTTCTTCATGAAGACTTGGATCTCAAGCATCTCGAAGCTCACTCTTCACATGCTCGGCTCTGATCTGACTGGAGGATGCATGAATCCAGCCTCTGTAAGTACTTATTCACTCTAAACGTAATCTATGCTTACTGCTGAATTGTGTTGAATGCATGACACTTGAATGAGTATCGAGTAAAATCTAATTGCATCTCTCAGGTAATGGGGTGGGCTTTTGCACGCAGCGAACATTTAAGCAAGGAGCATTTAATTGTTTACTGGCTTGCTCCTATGGAGGCGACTTTGGCAGCAGTGTGGGCATTTAGAGTAATAGTTCCACCCGAGAATGACATGACACCAAAGGTGAAGTCCGGAAAATCAGAATGAAAAGACAATAGATCAATTGTGTGTATAATAGAATTGTAGGTATTTTGATGCAATTAACATGTAAAATTGGCTTGCAGAATGATGTGTCCATTGCTGTTTTGGGTTCAATGCAATTGTAGTGCCCCTAATGTATCTCTATCTAACACACTGCAAACCTGTGTAAATATACAGATTAATACACATGGGGCTCGGGATGAATGATTTGATCGATTCCAGAAATTCTGGGGTTCATTTCATCTTTCTGCAACATATCGTGCCATCGCAGAATTTGTCAAAAATCTGATGCGTGATCATGTCACTTGGCAAACACGCAGTCTAGCATTACAGTAAGTGGTAGGAGAATACTCTCAGTGCATAACAAATGTTTACTCAGTATCATCAAACTATCCTTGTAATTACAATAAACAGAGTACTCTGTAAATTTGAGAATTGAATACAGGAATAAATCAGTAAACAAGTTGTGGTTCAAACTCTGCAAAATCAACAGAACCAGATTCAATGGGTTTCATGAGATATGCAGCCAATATCTCAGAAGCCAAAGCTGAAATGAGTGGTATCCTCTTCAAGTTCTTCACCAAGGGAATGTCTTGACTCTGTCCCACTGCAAGCAGTTGCTCGTTGATCTCCACCATCCGATCTAATTTCCTCTTGAATTCCGGGTTCTCAACATCCGGCACAGCTGGGAAAATTCTAGCTGTTGTGCGGTTTGTCTGCAGGGAAAACAAAAACGAGTTTTAGCATGAAATCGAAACTTTTGGGGAGTTGATCATGATGGCTTGGACTGAGTTTTGCCAATAATTTAACATAATAAAGCTACGGAGGACTGGAAAATATCGGATTCAAACTTAACAAATTTTTGAGAAGATGTACTGGAAACATTCAAAATTATCATCTGATGAAATATGATAATTGCAGTTTGAATAAGTTTTCTTTGAACGAAGCATCAGACGAAATACCATTAGAATCTTTATTTTTTGTTTCTTTCGAAAGAGACCCGAGACACTGGAAAATATATTCCATTTCTTTTTCATTTTTCTTTTCTTGTTTGTTTGGCATGGATCTCAAAGACCGAGAATTACAATTGAATGAATCGACATGAAATATTTGCAAAACTCTGGCTGAGAACCAGAAGAAAAATGACTTTAGCCAATGGAGTAATGCAGAAGAGAAATAAGGACAAACCCTCACCTCAATAATGACGTGCATGTCAAATTCCTTGGTGTTAAGCCCAATGCCTTCATAGAAAGCTGTTCTTTGGCAGTCATTAAGGTACATTGTCACATAAACCTGCATTATGTTGTCAAGATTTGAGAAAGGATTACAGATTAAGGACTGAGAAAATCTGTTTTGTCCACTCAATTAACGAGCAATAGGATTTGCAAAAGAAAACGTCTAGACTTATAATTACCGAGAGGCAGAAGAAGCGTGCCCACAGTTTTGCCTTCCAGTCGTTCAGGAACTGTGGCTGTGCCTTCATCAAAGCTGAGAAGAAATCACCATGGCGATTCTCGTCCTGGCACCAGTTTTCAAAGTACTTGAAAATTGGATAGCATTGGTAATCTGGATTCTCCTTAAGATGCCTGTATATCGTTATATATCTCCAGTATCCAATCTTCTCTGATAGATAAGTTGCATAGAAAATGAACTTGGGCTTGAAAAATGTGTATTTTCTTGCCTTTGTAAGGAAACCCAAGTCGAGTGCCAAATTGAAGTCAGATAAACCCTTATTCAAAAACCTGCAAGAATCCATCATAACCCCGGCTTTCTTAGTACTCATAAACTACCCTTGAACTATGTGGTTAAGATGTTTGATTCGGAGAAAGCGAAAGAGAGAAAAGTATGAGTATACCCCGCATGGCGAGCTTCATCCCTCGACATAAGTGAGAAAATCTCAGCTACTACAGGGTTAGTTTTCTGCACAAGCAATTTTCATACAAGTTATTAAAACAAAGTTTAATAAAGCAGCGACCTAACTACTTGCAGTAGCAAATTTTGAAATTCCTATTAATGTAATAGGAAAACAACAATGCAATTATTGGCAAGACTTGACGAGCAGCAGAAATTAGGCGCAATTTTAGAGAAGGAAATGCGGGAAATAGGAAAAATGAAATTTGGTTTGGTAAAAGAGCAAAAGAAAATAGATTGCCACGAGTGTTTTACAAATAAAATAACTGGATCATAGAAAACAAGTTAGCGACATTGATAATCTCTTTCGAAATTCGCAATAAATTTGAATGAACAAATTGAAGTTCAAAGAAAACTAAAGCAGATAGTGGTCATACTGCCAAAAATAGCCCTTTTTAAAAGGGGCCTTGGGGCTTGGCCAAATATGATGTTATCTTGAAACTAACTCTTATCTTACTATCGATGTAAGTAACGCAATTTTCATAAATAACTTATTTACTTATTAGTGAACTTACTTTTAAGTGGACGTCTTTTAAGCTTAGCCGAACAAGAGATTTGGTAATTAGGGCGCACATGGAAATATAAAAGTGTGAAATTCCAATTGAAATGGTAACCCCAACAGTATATGAATCTCAAGTACTTGTATATAAACTTTCTTCAAGTTGAAAATGCTGATATATGGTGAAAAACACTTATATTTGGCGATCCAATTTCAAATTCATTCCGCGAAATTAGCTCCAAATTGAGCATAATGGCCGAATTAGAAGGACCCACAAATTATAGCAACAGTTAAACGGAAACAGAAAAATTTCAGACCTTGAGCCTTCTCCCAAGCTCCTTGTAGAGAAGGAACCCAGAGAACTCAGCAGTGCAAGACCTCTCCAAGAACTCCACAAAAATCTGCCTCAAAGGATCCTCCATTTTATCAGCAGCCTCCTTGAACTCCTTGTTCCTTACAAAGTGAGTCTGGTTGAAATCAGTCTTGAATTCCTGCAATAAAGCCTCAAACTCAGACATGTTCAGATTCTTGTTGATTTCTGTGTTAAAAAGCTGCTCCATTTCATCAAAATCCGTGGTGTAAAATCTTGGAGTCAGCAGGCTTTCATTTATTTCTTTTTTCCCAGCCTTTTTCTTTTTGGATAGAGTTGCTGCCTGGGACTGGACGGTGGACGACATTTTGATGGTGAAAAATCGGGTGCATGGCAATCGGGAGTTTCCAATTCTTGGGATAGTGGAGCTGAATTTTGATATGGGTCTAACTAAGGCCATTTCTGCTGCCATTTTCGGGGCAAATTTTGCAGCAGAAAAATGAACTGATGGTACTGTTCTTCTGGTGGGAAAGGGGGACTAACGAAGAGGGGAGAGATAAGATGTAGGGCTATATGTAATTTGGATGAAAGTGATTATCTAATCTCATCCAATGAAATCTATGAAACTAAGTGGGAATTTGACACGTGGCAATACAATGGGACTGCGTAATTACTAGGTTGGTTTTGATTTTCTGGTGTATGTCAAGCCATTCCAATACAGTGATGTCAAAATAAATCGAATCGAGCTTGGATCAATTCACCGATGTGGACCAAAATTAATAAACAAATAAAAGAGAACGACCATTCCCTCAAACTCGTAGCTCTTTTTAGGCCTGCCTCGGCTCAACCCACCTTGGCCAAGCCTCGCGGAAAGTGATGAACTGGGTTTGACCCCTAGCACATCGCAAAATCCGGTCCGCTTCTCCACACTAGTTGTAGGCAGATATTTCTATTTTCTTGGCATGTGATTTTCTTCTTCTTCTTCTTCTTTTTTTTTTCTTTCAGAAAAACTAGGATTAAGATTTAGGACCAATTCATTCAAGAACCCACAAGAAAATGGAATTTTTAGAAACAACTTAAAGAAAAGACTTGACAATGAACCTGAAATTCACTGCTGTATTATGTTCCTGTAAATTCCTCTGGATACATAATTTCAAGTCGAAAATTTCATGCACATCATTTATTGACAATAAAGATAATCATTATAAACTAAAGATAGCTTGGGCAATGCGACTAATCAAATGCCATCTCTACAAACAGGTTGCAAGTAGCTCGGAGGACACAACGGTGAGTACATATTCATAGCTTGAAAGATTAATATAGGATCTAAATTATATCCATACAAACAACCTGTCAATCCGAGTTACTAGTATCATACATTTCCCTATCAAACTCTTAATTAAGAGTTTGATAATGTAAGATAAAAGGGGTGAACAGTAAAAGAACTATGTATCAAACCTATCTATTTTCGCTCTTCCAGGATTTCTCTCTCATTCTGCAAGATCCTGCATTATTTTCGACAATTCGCCCTCCAACTTCGGAACTTCTGCTGCCAGATTGTATCTAGAATTCTGAAGCCGGCAAGAATCTCATTTATCTACTAGTTTAAACAACATTAAAACCTCTACATTTTGAAAGCTTCCTGTCCCGCTACCAGACAGGCTATCTTCTGACGCATGCATCCAAATCTTTGAGGGGGGTAAGGGTACTGATTTCTCCTATTATCAAACCTGTCAAAATGATACGTACTCTTCTGATTTCAAATGAAATGAAAGATACATATGATATAATAATTTAATAGTATTGACTTCTTCCCCCAGTACATGGTTGAAACTTGCAAGTATCAATCTCATGAGAAGAATGATCAGCATCAATGCAGTAAAAAAAATACATGGATTATTAACTACTACCATAGAAGCCGTAACATGGAATTGTTAAATTTATTTTACTTTTGGGTTCCGATTGTTCTTTTGATTACATGGCTGGAACAAATATTTATTTTGTTTGCATCTATAGCCATTTGCACCTTGATGTTCTGTTTCAGTTTGTAAGCCTTTAGAGTAATGCCGCATATTTTATTATTATTTTTTTAATCTTGAGTATGATTTTGGAGTCATAACTACCCTACTTGAGGCTCTGCTGGAGAATTTTTAAATGGGGTTAGTTTTGTTGAGTCCAAGAATTGCTATTCTAATTAAGTCAAGGCTAATACTGTTCTATCCTAGACTATCAAGGCACCCATGTTTTTGCAAATCTTGAATGGGTTAATGGAAAAGCTGAAAATATATAAACGTACAAAGTCTGATAATAAGAACATATATTGGAGCTCATGGAGGAGAAAGGTCCATGCAATTTGGTGGCTAACACAATCCTCAGATGGGATTTAAAACAAAAAAAAGGAAAACTCGAGTAGCAGGTAAAGGAGAAGAATGAAAGCTACCTGTAGTTTATGCTTGAACTGATGCTGTGGTTGGATCCGATGTTGCTTCATTATGTTTCTCCTCTGCATATCCCCCATGTTTGATTGGGGAGATAATTACAGACTCTAATTCTTGTTCAGCCGAAAAGAGAACCAAGCTGGAATCACTTGTTTCATTTTCTACCCGCTGTTTCATTTCATTCTCCTCTGTATTTCCCCCAACTTTGATTGAGGAGATCTGCAATTCTTGTTCAGCCGAAAAGAGAAATGGGCTGGAATCATATCTTTCATTTCCTTCCTGCTCTTTCATATTATCCTCAATGCCTACGAATTCCAGATTTTGTAAGATCTCTGGAAGTGAAGCGCCGTTATTCTCAGCAAATTTATCTCCCATTTCTACATCAGTTTGTTCCCTAGAGCTAGCAATACTTCCTGTTAAATTAGGATCCATCGCTTCCATAACCATAATTTCCTCTTCCTGAACATATGCTCTGAAATTAACCATCGAAGGTGGGATTTTAGAGAAAAAGACTTCTTTCAGGTTTGTGATCGTCCCTCTGTTATATGGGTTCTCCTTCCTATCATATCGGTACCTGAAGTTCTCATATGTAGTCTGCGTATGAGATAGCACGACTTGTTTAGATAATGGATAGACTAACTATTAACTGCCAGGATATACTAGATTCACCATCAATCAGCCTATGAAAACATTATAAATATGTTGGAAAGGTTTGTGCACAATAAGTCATTCTAAAGTTCACATTGAGATAAAGCATAGAAGACAAGACGTGAATGGCTTCTTTTCTTTGAATTCCAACCTATTACACCATCTTTAGTAGCATATAAGTTAAATAGTAATCGATGCTCATGCACATTTTGGAAGAACAGTCACCTGGTTGGTGCTAATCAGATAGAAGTGGAAAACTGTAAGGCCACCCACAAACCAAAAGGTGATGAAGCAGTACACGATGAGAATAGCTGATAAAATATCACCTAACATGGCCTTCCAGAAGTTGCGTTTCTGGCGAAGAATGTTGACCGAGACCACAAAGACATATATGCATAAGATCGTTGATGTAGATACAAACATGTAGAAAAATCGATAATTACGCTGCAAACATATCACAAAAGATGCCACAGTTACTTGAGCAAAGGAAGTATGAAGTATCCATACAGGTACTATGAAACCAAATTGGAAAATCATTTCATGTACCATGCAATAGTCTGGTAATATCATCTTAATGCTTAAAAACTCGAATTATAGTATCTTCAAAAAAGTTCTCCATTTTCCAGCGATTCATATAAAAACATTCACAGAAACAAAAAGCATACGACATAGATTGTGCAATCCAAAAAAGCGTACAAGGCCTATTTACTGTACAATGGACTGGGTGACTTCCATGGACAACAGAACCCACATTTGCACACCACTCAGAATAATTCCACCTATTCCATGAGGGATGAGGATTAATAAACACGATGTAAGTTTACAGAAAGTTCTTATTAGTTTGTGCTTCAGAAAAATGTGATTCTGAAGTCATATACATCTTCAATATTTAGAAGTGCTCTATTTCAACATCCAGATATATTAAAATCCAATTGAAATAAGACTGTACGGCAAAGGAAGCTGCAATATTGTGAGGCTACAGGATGGAAATTGAAGCAGGGATATCCCTATATGTGTGATTTTCCATAATAGATACCTGATTTTTCATAATAGAAGAGGGAAAGGCATGTAATATGCTGTTCATCGTAAAAAGGAAAAAGAATCTTATGCAGGTATTTAGATACAGATGGCCATTAACATTGGTACTATACAAAGATCACGTGACATATACATTCATAAGTACATATTGAAGATAAAATAATAGACTGTGTCTATTTAAAGCATCAGCATTTCTTTATGCATGCCAGAATACTTACTACACCAATGCATTGACCAACCCATGGACAGTGGTGATCAAATCTCTGAACACAATTGTTGCATATGGAGCAATGAGAAGCACGGGGAGGACGGTACAGCAAACATGTGTCACAGTATTTCATTTTAACAGTGTGCCCATTCACAACCACATCCTTCGTCCGGGGAAGCTTCAAATGAGGAGTTCTTCCATTGACCCACTCCATTGAAGGGGTGCTTATTTCACCCGTTTCATCACATTCAGGTGGTGTTGTATTTCTAGAGATGATCCCAGGATCTCTACTGGATGTAAGGAATAGAAACAGCATATCCTGCAAGGAGAAGTCGAGATTGGCAGGTTATCTTATTTGAATAAGTTGTTCTAAGAGATCTTCTATCAAAGTTCCAGCAAGTATTTAGCAAAATTCAGGGAAAATATTTTCTTCTTCAAGGTAGGAATTCAGCAATTATGGCATGTTTGGTATGAGTATTAGACAAGATTGGATAGTCCAGTGTACAAGATCTTAATTTATTTTTCATTTTTATTATAGTCAAGTCCAACTCCCCACATGGACTACACAATTCTATAAGCGTTGGAAAACGAGCCATGTTCGCCCTATAATGCACCGACACGGACACGAGTGTCCGATACGATACTTGTTTGACATGCCGACACGTGATTTTTCAAAAAAGTACCAACATAGCATGTCGCCAACACATTGATTAAATATTTTAAAATTCGTTATAGTATAAATTTAATTTTACACTTATTATTAATTTTTCTCATTGAAATCTTTTATATATGAGTACCTATTTTTATTAATAATAACTTTATGTTAAAATATATAATATTTCAATTAAAAAAAATATGATTATGGGAAAGTGTTCGATGAGTGTTGGTATCCAACACGTGTTGACATTGACACGCTACCCTAGTTGAAGTGTCCGTGCAACACTTCACCCATGTGGACTGACTGGACCCTCAAGAATGGATTAAAGGGGACGGTTTGAAGTATGAATTCAAATATATAACTTCCTTCAACCTTCATCAACTCCCTATAATTCCCTTAACACAAAAGAGAGAGATAGAATGGCTGAAAATGGTGGAAAATTCTGAAAATAAACCAAAAATGGAAAGGGCCTACAACCATAGTTTTGTCTTGAAAACTCACAAAACTTCGCACTTAGATTGTGGGTAACGGACTCCTTTCATTGTTATTGAGTTCTGGACCACTGGAGTGATCAACATGAAGCTTCGGAGTGTTAATTTGCTGATTTTTGGAGCATAGAAAAAGCAAGTGATTCAACCATGAAGATCTTGGAGAATTCTTTCTTTACAGGTAAGATTTCATGAACTGAAATTAAATTATGGCATACTGCACATTCTTTTAAAAAGTAATAGTGATACGTATTCCCACTAACTCCCCTAGTTGAAACATATAGGAAAGGGCGAAGAGGTAAAAAGGAAAAAAAATCCTCAGTAACTCCTACAATGCAATGAAATGCACAACAACCTGAAGAATTGAATATGATACTAGCACTTCCCTATAAACAATAATGAGCAAAGAAAAGTAATTTCTGGAATGACAATTCATTCCCATATAGCAACTTCAGCTGTAGCATGCTCAATCACCATATTAGAATATTTGACTCTTAAAAACGATAAGGAAAACACTTCTGACATCTGCCATGATGAATATTTACTTACAAAAACAGTTAGTAGGATTCCCACAGTAAGCACTGAATACCAAGGAATAGCATCTTTTTTTTCTTTGATACGATGTCTGATAACAAGCGAGACTCTTGTACAAAACGCAATCGCTGGACATGCAATAAGGAATGTGGACAAAAACAAAGATGCCACATCGGGACCAAAGACCAATCTTCCTCCACATAAGAATTTCTGGAACATTCAAAATAACGTCAGTTTCAATAAAGGCTTGATATGTCAAACTGTGCAATAAAAATAAATGTATTTCTATTCCAAAGTAGATAAATTCAACATCACAAAGAATCTCAACAATAAATAAGCTATTTAAAACAAGCAACTGAACAGTATCCTCTCTCACTAAGAAGTAATTAAAGTACATAATTGTGTACAGCTACACACACATGAGGTGTGTACACACATTCTTTGAATGAAATTGAGAATGTCTAGATATAGTTTAAAAATATTATTATTATCATATATCACAATTTTTCACCACTAACAAAGTTTTAGTTATACCATAAGATAGCAGGGGATCGGGAGGAACTGAGGAAAGATAACCCCAAGGATCGCAGAACAATACAATAGATCAGATTTTAGTATTTTAAATTGAAGAGCACATTTTTCACTCTAACTTTCCAATAATGAAATGATTCCTTCTTAGTAAAATCCAAAATCTCAAAAGATATAACTGATAATCAGCTACCATGCATTTGTAACAATCTAAGTTTAAAGCCTAGAATAAACTAGGTAATAACATCAAACATGTAGTGAACATAAATGTACTGCAGCTTGATTAACATGAAAAGAAAAGGAGTGGACTGAACTAAGCATGCAAATCCCCTTATTCCAACAATCTAATTTCTTTGTTCAACATAAGTACTTGTACAAGATTCAAGAAACACCCTTCTCATTAAATGATCAACCACACTAAAAATAATCAACCAAAGGACATAAGGAAGGGAAAAAAAAAGGGGACTTACATTGCTTCCCTTCCAAACCTGATAAAGCCTATTTGGTTTGGGTTTTTCTTGGTCCATAGAAAAGAAGAAAAACCAAACAACCCCACTCAACCCCTAAATTCAGATTGTAGTTAATTTCCAATCACAAAACCCTCTTTATTGCTTTCTCTACATCAGCCCACATGAGAAAATGACCTCAAAATTGAATCTTTTCAATTCTTGATCAACCAAGTCCAAAACCATTCACTGGAGTTTTTATGAGTGGTTTTGTTTGAATATCGAAAAATGGTGAATGCTGTTGTCTAGAGAGAAGATGGTTTATGATATGATCAAGAAACCAGCTGCCATTTAGCTCATCTATTTCTGTCCCATGACGGATTTTCCCAGGAACAATATTTGTTCTGACTGTTTATTTACGTTTGCATTCTCTATTTAACTAAAACAATTGATTTTGTGTTAGTTTACATAATAAAATATTTTAAACGTATATTCAATTTGTTTCTTTATATTTTAATCTTTTCAAAAAAATCACTATTTAAAACACCAATTTAGCTAACTCTTTCTCACTTTTTTTTTCTCTTCTGGCAAATTATGCTGCTTTGGGGGGGAAGTCCAAATATGGACCTTATTTTTGTCTTAGGTATTTAGCATTTGTTTGGGGACATTTTAAGTGAAAATTGATTTTTTTTTCTTTTTTATTTTTGAAGAAAAGTAACAAAAGTTATAAATCTTAATAGAGTGTGTAGTTAAAAATGATTTTAGAAAAAATATGACGCTAATTGAGAAAATATCGAGGACGTGACTAGTCACAGACAAATTGAATTGAAAAAAAAAAATTAATATATATATATAATGTATTCTATTCCACTTGAAGCAATGAAGCCTTCGTCTGTAGTTGGATTCTGTATTCTTGTAACTCAAATCAACGGTGGAAGTATAAATTTAACTCTCAAGCCAAGAAAGTGGAGAGTATTTCTTGAAGTGGCAAATGGATATATACCAATAGTTTGAATGAATATATAGGCCCTGTTCGGGAGTGATTAAAATCCAATTAAAATTGAAAATATGGCCGTTATTGGGCCCCACCCGTCTAATAAAAGTCAACAATAACGACTANGATATTGCATGTTCATTCAGGACGTTTTTTTTTTTTTTTTTTTTTTTTTTTGTTTTTATCGTTTTTTTTTTTTTTTCAATATTTAATGAACAATGCTACATGTACAGAATGCCACATGACAACATTTTATTGAATTTTGGACAAAAAACAAAGTTAAAACAGCCAATCAAGTGCTGCCATCTCAAAACTTGTAAAACTGTATGTGCAATTTATCTGTACAAGTATCATTTATCATATTTAATTTATAGAATTATTTGGCCTCAGGTTAGGAACAGCCTTGATGTAGCTGTAGAAAAGGAATAATTCCATCTTCTTTGGTGCTATCTGGCCGAAATTCAGCTTAAACTTATTTTGATGTCACCTGGATAACAGCAAAAACAAAGTGAAAACCGAACCTTAAAACTCCCTAAAATGCGAAGCAAAATCCTCAAATTTACACAAGTAAAATCTTTGAATGAACAATGTTCACTTGGTTACACAAGTTCATATGATTGTTGCACTACACGTCATAAACTATCTTGTCCATTTAGCACATGCACAGTGACCATATTTCTCGAGACGGGGAAATAAATAACCTTATCTTCGAAGCACTGCAGATGAATTTCTCTGAGAACTCGTTTCAGTCCCATTTTCATCGGCCGTACTGTCTCCAGTACCGGATTCTTCTACTTGAGCAGTCGGAAAGAAATAAGGGTCGAGGTTGATGCTTCCTCCTTTGTCCTTCTTCAAACTGTCTTCAATTCCATTGTAGTCCAAATTCTGCAGAACATCCGGAAGTGGCTTACCGTCCTTGCCAATGGTACCAACTTCTAGGTCCTTCTCCTTCGAGTTGATATTATCACCACCAAATCTTTTTGTTATGGATCCTAGTATCGAATGATCTTCTTCGGTGACCATGTCCCGAAAATTGACCAGCAACGGTGCTGTCTTAGAGAAAAGGATTTCCTTGAGGTTCTTTATCATCCCTCGATCAAATGGATTCTCTTTCTTATCATAATGATACCGGAAATTTTCATATGTCGTCTGTAACAAATATAAACCAAGCTCAGATAATGGACACTTCATAAATATCAAAGAAATTTCAATTTATGATACTAAACCATATCAACGAATACCATTGTTTTGAATTATATATTATCGATATCTGGGTAAGGCCTTAAGGAAAATTTTAGAATTCAGATTTTTTTTTTTTTTTCTTTCACTAGTGAAAATGGTCTTTTGATAAAATTCGCCAACATTCATTCCAGCATGATCGGAAAGTTGGTATCTGATAAATGAAAGCTCTGGAGACAAGTTTAACATACAAGAAAGCTGTAAATTACAACCATACTTCGGAAAAAAAGAGTTTTGAATAGTGATTTTTAGGAGAATGTATGGTTAAAAAGTAGGAAAATTTTTGAATTTATGTGCAGAATATTTTATCGTGTGAATGTGTGGTTGAAAATGAGTATGTAGAAAAAAGAGTTTAAAAAGTATGTTTGTCAAACAGGGCTTAATAAGTTGATTGAAATTATAAAATGAAAAAAATAATCATCATATAACATAGGAATTTCATAACTCTTAGGACACAGGAACATCATTAATCCATGAAGAGAAAGAAGCTAACCTTGTTTGTGGACATTAGATAGAAATGGAAGACGCTAAGCCCACCAACAAACCACACCACAACGAAGCAGTACGCCATTAGAATGACTGATACAACGTCTCTTGACATGGCATCCCATATGCCTCCCCGTTCTTTAAGGAGGTTCAACAAAGAAAATGTGAAAACATATATGCACAAGATTGTTGATGTCGATATAAATAAGATGAAAGTCCGGTAGTTCCGCTGCACCAAATCAAACACGGTGGAGGCAGTTTTTTATCAAGAAACTGAAGTAAAAATTTATTTGTAACAATGTAATTAAGAATGATGATAGTTATGTGATAATAATGAGGAAGAATGCTAACACAAAATGAACCGAAAATGGCTACTGGACCTCCTTACCTGTAACAAATCACCATTTGTCATTCTATTTCTAAAGAATATATCAAATTCTAATGCCTCAGAATCAGTCTTTAAAAAACTTAAATTGAAATTGAATTTATATTTCCAAATTCTCTTTCAAGGTCCCAAATCCATACTTCCAAATACAATCATGTACAACCTTCCAAAAAAGTATATTTGAGAAACTACCAATCCACTAAAGATTAAATTGCTGTTAGTTGTAACCTAGAATCAGACAAAACTAAAGATTTAAAATTTTGGATAATCAAGATTGGTGCCTTCCCTTAAATACAAAAGTAATAATTGACTAATGCAAAATTCATTTTCGGTGATAAAAAGCAAAGAGGCATTAAAATGATAAATGAAAAATGGTAATGAGTTCATTGCTTTACTTTGTAAAACAAGATGATCTACTGAGGACAAAATGTAAATAGCAAAGCCATTATAGATAATCATATATAATGAGTAAATGAAGTGAGAACTTAGCATAAACTATAAGTGGTAGACTTACAACTCCAACACACTGACCCACCCATGGACAGTGATGATCAAACCTCTGGACACAATTGTTGCAGATGGAGCAATGAGAAGCACGAGGTGGACGATATAACAAACAAGTGTCACAGAACTTCACTCTAACTATGTGGCCATTGACAAAAATGTCCTTTGTTCTAGGTAGTTTCATCTCAGGAGTTGCATTGTTCATCCACTCCACAGATGAAGCAGAAAATGATTCATCTGATTCAGGCGGCCGTGAGTTCCTAGGAATTATTCCCGGATCTCTTGAAGATGTCATGAAGAGAAAAGTCAAATCCTGTAAAGGTCTCAATTTTTATTTTTTACTTTTTAATGCAAAATCAGTATTTTTAAGACCAAAAACTTAATCTCTTTGTATTTTTCCTTGAAAACAATATCAGAATACGTACCAAAATTGTGAGGACAAGTCCGACTATCAATACAACATGCCGATACAAGAAGTCAGCTTCTCGAACCCTCACAAGCGTTTTGATACAGAATATTAATGCAGGGGCCCCTATCAAGAATGTTGATAAAAGGCATGATGCCCCATCCGGACCAAAGATCAATCTCCCGCCAAACAAAAATTTCTGAAATAGAATTGAAGGAATATACGATTTCAACATTCTGTGGTAGACATATAGTTAGAGTTGATCTTAGGTACAATTCAAATGCTTATATTTTACAAAGGTATCTTGATTCAGTAATTTGGGAGTGAGAATGTGTGATCATCCGTGTATCTTACAGCTTCCTTATATCACAAACATCATATAAAGCTCTAACAGATTAGGCTGTAGCACCACAATGAAGACATACATTCCCCTGATCATGTAATGATTGCACCATGTTCCTCTGTTTGAGGAAAAAATGTAAGTGATTGAAGGAATTAAGCATGTCGATCAGCTTAATTCAGAGGCTCAGCAAACAGTATATTGTAGCAAGATGTAAGTTAAAGGTGAATAAGGTAGAATATACAAGGAAAATTATACTGTACCTTTTGCCTTGAGAATAGTTATATTTTTGAAGAAAATCTCCAGAAACATTCATTCAAGTGGTTAATCATAGTTTTGATGTATATACCCATTGAGTGACAATTCAAGCATTGGAGAAACTAAAAGAAACAGAGGAGAAAGTTCTCTATCTGATCGAATGAGAAAGCTATGCACTATCTTACCCAAATAAAAAAACAAAGACAAGTATGCACCAAGTAAAACCTCAAAAATTTTAGATGTCCAGAGCTTATCAACCGAAAAATTTAGACATTTTATCGCATCCAACCGAAAAATTTGTGGATCTCATTATTGTTTGGTCAAAATAAAAACCACAGAAGACTATGAACGTACAAGGATGCCATAGATTAAGTCAATACTGCCGTAATTTGGAAGGTTTATGGCAACTTTCTAATAAGCTAGATGAAAAATACACTACTTGAAAATTCAAAATTCAAAATAAGTTGCTCCAATTTAAAATCAGAAATCACAGGCATCAATGCAACTTCAAATCAAAATAACCATCCTGCAATACTGTAATGTAGTCTCTAATGAAAACCCATACATCAAAACAAGCTCTGTCCTTCAAATGATTTTCCATTCACTAGCAAGGCTAGTTGCAATAATCAGGTTCTACCGTCAATATTTACAATCATTATAAAGACCCGGCAAGTTTTCTTGATCAATCTCACATAAAAGCACATCAGACAATATTACCAGGCTATCCACCAATACTAAGAAAAATCTGTTATACAAAATTTAGTTTCTTCAGGAGGCGGATCCAACCATACAGCAGCAAATGATTGATCAAAACAAATTAAATAAATTGATACTATAGCATCAGCATCTATGTTCAAGAATTGCTTGCAAAAAAAAAAAAAAGACATTATTAAAACAACCCTTTAAAGTCCCAATAAATCATTTAACAATAGCAATACTCAGAATTAAATTAAAAAAGTCTCTAATGTATAATGATAGAAATAAAAAAAATTAAAGGAAACAAGAAAAAGGGCTTACATTACGACCCTTCCAAACACGGTAAAGTCTTGTTTCGGGTCTGGGAGGGGCAAAATCTTGATTCTGAGTCCCACCCATCAAAGACTTGGTTTAATCAAAATCTTTATCTTTTGCTATTCGACATGCAAAATAATATCCATCAATGGGTGAGAAGAAATCAAATTTTCGCCACAGGGGCCGGTCCCGGTTGAAGCGTGGAGAGGAAGAGATCAATATCCTTATCCCTCCCTCTCTCTCTCTCTTTGTTGTTTAACCTTTTTGTGCAATACCAGTTGCCCCTGCTCTGCATCCTTCAAACACAATTCATTTCATCTCCCTCTCTCTCTCGACCCCTGGAAGTTGCAACGGTAGAGTTGGAGGATTCCATTTTAAGCGGATTTTTCGCGGCTAGTACAACAATGGAAAATGGCGCTGTCCAACGGACATGTCTTTAATATTTCGTTTTCTATTTTTTCCCCTTTTCGAGATCTTGGCTAATATTGGCCCCTAACCTTTACCTTCAGTGCGAAAATGGTTCCTAACTTTTGTTTCTTGGCATATAGGCTGTAACCTATGTATTTTGGTGGTAATTGATCCTTCTCTTGGAAAAAGACCCATATACCCGTAATTTTAATTAGTAATTGGGTCTCTAAAATTTGAAAAAGGTACAAATGGATCCTATACTTCTATATTTTTTTTCATTTTTTTTTTTTTTGTTTTATAAAAAAATAAGAGAAAGTAATTAGCTTTTTCTTTGTTTTGAATTAAGAATTTATTGACCAAACTAATCATATATGTAATCTATTTTGTATATTTTACAAACTATTACGAAATAATTTGTAATCCCTTTGCAACCAATTTATATATAAATGATTTATAAGAAACCAATTTATAAATGATTTATAAATTCAGTAAAAATCAAATATTAATTTCAACTACAAGATCATAAAAATTATTCATTTATTATTCATGTATTATGTGAAAAGCGTTATTATTCTCTTTGTAAATTGATTTATAATCAACCAACTTGTTAATGAATATTATTAGTTTTATTATTAAGTAATTGTATTATTTAATAGTTAAAACAAAAAAGGAAAGACGGCCTATGTTCTGAATCTATTTGTTTATTAACTACAAAAACTATAACTTTAACTATATTTTTATGTAAAATAAAAATACAATAAGATCGATTGAATTCATAAAATGATACGTCATTTTGCTATATATTTTTATTCGAAATTTTCGTATAACAAAGCAATTGCATACACTTCAAGCACGATAACTACCTTATTTTCCATTCAAGAAAATTTAAGGGTGCGTTTGATTGTGAAGGTGGAAAATGGGTGAAAAGAAAAATGATTTCCAGGAAAAATTATTGTCTAGAAAATATTTTGCAGGGAATTGTTAATTAAGTGTGTTTGATTGATATAATTTTCTACCCGAAAAATTTTTAAATGTTCTATTCGTTTGGCTTTATTTTACATGAAAATTGTCTATTAAAATGATAATTTTTTCCACAATTAGTTATAAGATTTGTTTCCATTGCTAAAAAGTAAAAAAAAAAATTATTTCCTAAAAAAACAATTTTTAAAAAAAAGTTAAGTGTTCGTATGAATTTGTTTTAAATGAAAATTGTCCATTAAAGTGAATTTTTTTTTACCATTAATTATGACATTTGTTTTCATTACAAAAATTTTTTTTTAAAAAAAACGTGAACTAGAAAATAAATTCCCACAAAAAATGTGGGAAAATCATTTCCTCCAAAACCAAGAAATCAAGCGCGTGAGGTTGTAGGGTGGAAAAAATTTTGCCTAGAAAAAAAACTATCAAACAAGTCATTTTGGGTGGAAAAGAAAATCATTTTCCATGGAAAATAAGGCCTGTCAAACGCAGCCTAAGTGACACAGCTATAGTGATATATTTAGTACACTAAATTACATATTATTAAATAAAGGTTCAAGATGCATTTGAACTATTCCAAAGGTTATGGACCTAGCTGAAATTTTTTCTAATTAAATAAAGGGTATATTGGTCATTTTCACCTAAAAGGGACTAATTGTACACCAAAATACATAGGTCGGGGATGTCCATGCCAAAAATTATAACAATAGGGACCATTTGAACACATGAGGCAATATTAGAGATCATCTGCGCTAAATTTCTTTAATATAAAAATAACAATAAGAAAATTGACTCAAAAGATTTAGAATAATGTTACTTGTACATAATAGAGTTAAATAATGATTTAAATACAGAAGTATCAAAAAGAGAGTGGAGTGTCAAAAAGAGAGTGGAGAAGTTGTTATTATTATTATTATTATTTTGTTGAAGAAATTCAGATTCAATAATATCTCACAACATTGTGTGTATGTAAATCATTACATGTGGTACAATCGAAAGATTTAAACGTTGACCTTGCCCTGAATAAAGCAATCACAACCTGCCCCATCCTTGAATCTACAATCAAAATCTTACACGGAAAATCCAGCTGAAATGAGCGTTTCAAGAATTTTCCTTAAAACTTTCGTGACTTTAACTCTTAGCCCCCGTTTGATCTACATTATTATCTCATTAAAATGAAAAATATGACCGTTATCCATCACATCAATATTTAAATTCAAATTTTCTCTCTCTTATGTGGGCCCAACAACGTCTTTATTTTTCATTCTCGTTCTACAATAATTTGGCTCAAACAGGGGCTTAATTTGTGAAGGATTGTGCATTGTAAATTGAGAATTTTTGAGCTCAACCCCCATGAAAAATTTCGTGTAAAGGTATGAATTCGACTAAAGGATAAATTTTTCATTGAAAAAAAATGAAAATATAAACTAAACACAAAAAGATTTTAATCGCTCCTCCTAATAAAGTTGATCTTTTAAAATAAAACCTCAAGTTTTAACATTATGTCAAACAAACAATTTGATCCAACTATGACATAAATAAACACAAATTCCATTTGACAAATTAGTGTATGTGTATATTTTGCTAAGAATAATATTATTTACAATCGCTCACCAACGTATTTGTCCTATACGATATATATGTGCGATAAATGACTTGATGCATAAAATAATAAAAAACTAATACATTAACGTATCAAATCACAAACCTTTGTATGTATATCACATAGAACAACTACGATAATGAACAATTACAAATAACATTACCCTTTTATTAGCGTGGTATCTTTTTACAACTTCATTTTATAATATGTAACATACGTCAATCGAGCACAATTCTTTGCTAAATTAGCATAGTCATATATAGTACTACAATAGTTTGATACCACTCCAGAAATATTTTATCCTTAAAAATGTTTATCATCAGTATCAGAAACCATACTTCCTTTAACTTTTTATAATATTTTAATTTTTTTTTAAAAAAAGAATAATGTTGTCTAACACCACCGATTCTATATCACCAATCTACGTGATACTATGAAACAGACTCAATGAAAGCTGCAATTAAGTTACTCGTTTAATTATACTTCTCGATTAATGCTACATTAATGCCCCCAATTTTAATACCAATGCCGCTTGATAGCATTATTCATCAAAAATAATATTTCAAGTAGTAATTTACAACTTCATATCAAAATTCTTTACTTCACCGCAAGATACAATATATTTAAAACATAAATTCAAGAAAAAAAAAAAAAAGAGCTAATATAAGAGTAAAAGGGTGCCCAAGGGATAAAGGACATCAAGAGAAGTTAAACAAGAACTCAGACTCATTAAGTTCATAACGATTATGTCACATATCTATTGCCAAAACAAGCTGGGGTCATTAAACATTAGAGTTTGAGATGAGCTCTTTCCTAAATTCGACTTCTGATCATCTGAGGGGGGGAAAAAGCTTGCAAGAATCCACTCCCACTAGCTCCATTTCCTTGGGTAAATTAACACAAAAAAAGAACCCTTGGACCGACCAAAAGCTACATTCACCTTGCCGCTGTATTATACCTGTACATATTAGTCTTCAAACACATTCGATTAGTATGCAAAGTTTGATATATCATCGACCAAATACATTGTCAGCAAATACCATGTTGTGCAAAGAAGAAAAATGAAAGCAAATTAAAAGTGCTTTTTTCTTTCGTGAGCATAGATAGGCAGCCACACAAGAGAAGAAAAATGGCGAGATGATCAGAACATGGCCAAGTTCCACAAAGTTCTGTTTGTTTCTTAAGAATTGTCTGTCTAGTGAATTTCAAAATATTGTGAAATCTTAAAATTTCTATTACAATCCATTGAATTTAAGGTTAGAAGTGTAATATCTTTTGTTAAGACTCACTCCTCTTATTCAAAATTTCTTGCATATTATCGATGGATGAAAATAAACATCCAAATAAAATACAGCACCCAAGGCCCACTTGAAAAAATCCACGAATTCTTCTTTAAAAGTAACTCACGGATTCACCACTCTTGAATTACTAAAAACGAGAGAATCTAAAAACAAGTAACACTTAAATAATCAAAATTTAATAACAGAACTAACCTTTTTTCCCAGAGGAATCAAGCACCAAGAAAATTTATTATTCATTGTAATTGGCGTCGTCAATTGAAGTACCCTCTGCATTTCACAGACCCGCACAAACACTTCTTTCTTCCATGGTCGCTCTTCTGAGATGGGACCCTCCCATAATCGTATGTTAGCTCTTGCATGGGAGGGATGTGTCGGATGGCAAAGAAAGCAATATGGATATACGAGTTATTATCACTTTCACGCAGAACTGGGAGCCAGATCACATTGGGAGAACAACTATGGTTCATGAAACGAGCAACATTTCCATTATTTTTTGCATTTATGACAAGGGGAAATGGAATTTTTCTAGAACCATTACAATCATCTTCATCCTGTATAGCCACCAGTGGCTCGTAGGAGCGGGTAGCATCAAAAATATAATTATCTTCATTTTCATTCCCAAAATCACCTGTAGTCGACGCATCTATGACATCCCCTGCATACTCACAAATAAAACCTCCAGCACGGATGGCATCCCAAGATCTAAGCCCCCAACCTCTGTTTTTTGTTTTAAAGACCTCCAGGCGTACTTTCAGACCTGCTTGAGACACTCGATTCCGACAGTTTGGAGGACATGCACAAGTCGGTCCACATTCATGTATCAAAGACTTGTGAGCCAGAAGAACCCCAAGTGATGAATAGAGAAGATAGCCCCCATTTTTCTGATTGCAGGGGCAGTTGGTACCACCTGGTTGACATCCACCCATGCATTGACAACCCAAAGAAGGTTTAGGTGTAGCAAAAGGTTTGGAATACATGAGACTGGAGACGTAAGTGAAATAAGCAGGTCCCTTTTCGTCATCAACATCGTTCACAAGATACACGGGATGAGTCTCTGCACCTGAAGTTAGATCAGGAAGGACAACCCCAGGTCTTCTAGCAACTCCATCCTTCCATTGTCGGATTGATTTCCACAATGTAAAAGCTTCAGGTTGCCCGGGTACTCTAACCAACTTGTACTTAAAAACATTGCATCCAGATTTATTTTTTTCACCCCACGACTCCTGGACTTTGTAAAGGCCATCATAAACGTATATCTTCACAGTTGCGCCGGGAAACTCTGGTACCCCCCGTATAACTCTTACTTCATTGGCACGATGTAGACTCTTTTCCAGAGCAAGGTTTCCCCTTTCAAGCTTCTGATCAGACATTCGTCCATCTTTCAATCCACCATGGCCACTGTAAATCAAGACATCTCCATCTTCCCCCTCATCATCATATCCTCCAGAAGAGACAATACTGACCGCCACAGTTTCTTCATTCATGGTAGTTTTAATATAATCTATGCCTGCCATACTTGGAAAATGTAACCCCACAATGCAAAGTTCCATCCTAAAGAAGAAAATGTCGCCAACTTCAACCCCAGGTACATGCCCAATCCTCTTAGTGTTATTTGTCCGAACACCTTTGGTCATCAAGAGTGCACCAGCTTTCAGGTCTGGTCGTCTAGCAACCCCAGAAGTCAAATCCTTAGCTTCTTCAAGCTGGGTTAGCCTTCTCCGAAACAAATCATAAGCCAACATTATATTATCGACTGCCTCAGTATCGCCATTAGCTCTTCTGTAATCATTAAATTCCCTAAGCTTGAAAGAAGTCAGGAAGCTATTAACAAGAGATTCAACATCTAATTCATCACCATTATCACCTCTCCTCTTCCTTGGCCGACCCTTACGCTTCCCAGAATAACTGGCATCATCCAAATCAGCAGAATTCACACCAAACTCACCCACATACTGGTCACTCTGGTAGTCACTGTAACTATCGTCATCCATGCCTAAAGATCCCAACCTTTGACCTTTCGAGGCCCGCTTAGACCGCCCTGTGCCCCCATTGGCTTGGGGTGTTGGTGTTCTAAAGGAATTCAATGGAACAGGAGCAGGTATATCATTGCCAAAACTTGGTTGGTTCGGTGCACCAAATGGGATCTGTTGAGAATCATTTGGAACCATAAAAGGGTAAAATGGTCGGACACCAGTTGGGAAGGGACCGGTTGGTGGAACGCACACAAATGGTGTGGATTGAGGGGTTGAAGCAGAAGACATGCCGGGTTGGGTGGGAAACTGTGGGGCAAGACATCTTAATGGTCTCACATCCAAAACCCTAGACCTATCAATTGACCCAGGTGGAGGAACTGACTCGGAATCCAAACCTTGATCCATTTTACAGCTACACAACACTCCAGTTTATACAAGTTCCAATGAAAGCAAAGTCGGAATTAAATTACCTACAGAAGCAACAACACTCTTTTCTCCGATTATATATTAACAAAACCCTCAGTCTAACTAAAATATTAACAACATGATAATAATTACATCAAGCTTACAAAGAAACCATAGCTCAACGGATTGAAGGTACCGAATTAAACAAACTCTTGTAACATCTTCTCCCTACAACATGAAAACAGATATAATCAGAAAATTCACTGAAAATAAGTAAACAACAAATCTTTGAAGAAATGAACTGCAAAGCCGAAAGCACAATCTTTCAGTTAAAGCTAAAAGGCCTCGTTTGAAAAATTAGCAAGAAATAACATAAACGTGTATATTTTTCAAAAGGGCTAAAAAATCTTGATGAGTAACTGAAGAGTCAAAAAGGTATAAAAAAAACCTTCTAATGTGAAAAATGGCAAGAAAAATTTGATCGAACATCAACTTCTTAAAAAGTAAGATCTCAAAAGGGACAGAAATTTTGAAAAGTAAAGAATCAAAGAGATGAAAATTCTTTCTGTTTTCTTCTACATCACCGACCATGACTTTTTGATTAGCTAAAAGATGTGAAACAGATCTTGGAAGGGAAAATGGAAAATGGAAAAATACCTCTTCAGGTTTGGAGAGAGAAAGTGTGGAGCTTCTGTCTGCGTGCAGGGTTCTTAAGTGAGGGGGGTTTTCTGTGCCTTTCATGTGTTGTAATAATTCTGATCGCATTGCTAAAACGATGTCGTAAGCTGCATGAAACGGCTATTTAATGATACGGTGTCATACGCTAATAATTTTGGGGGAAAAAACCAATTCATAATAATTTTTTCAAACCATATAAATAAATCTTCTAAAAAGGAAGATACACACGGAATAATGATATGGCATTTAAATGACTTTATTCATTTTTCATCTTAATTGTTATCTAATATATAAAATTTAAGGTAACAAATCAATTCGTATCGTATCACTATCTATGAGTAATCAGTGTTAATGAATAGCATTACTCATAATCTTTTCTTAAAACCAGCGTTATGGAATCAAAACGTTTCTAATATTTTATTATTTAAAAAGTTTGAAATGTATTGAAATTAATATGTAGAGTGAAATTAGTTTACATGATGAGTAATCAATGTCATATAAACCAAAACAAGAAAGAAAAAATAGATTGAAATATCTATTTCCCTCCCTAAATTGGGAAATCACCAATGGAAAATCATCACAAGTGACATACAAAATCTACGGAGAAGATTATGTGAAAATCAAACAAAAATCACCAATAGAGTCCATCACCATCAAAATCCAATTATAAAAACCAGTGGAAGCAGGAAGCCGTTCAGGAAGCACTTGGCGCCAAAATTTAGTTTTAGTTAGTTAAAGTTTGCTTATTAGTTAGCTGTCATCTAACTGTAATTCCCGCTTCTTTTTTCACTTCTTTGGTTTGATATTTATATTGTATAAACATTTTATTTCATCATTGAATAATGGATTTTGCTCTCCAATATTCTCTCTTGTCTGTAATATGGTATCAGGGCATTCCTCTCAGCTCCACCATTGAATGCTGGTAAACTCTGATTGATCATGGTAGATTTATTCGTTCAAAATCAATCAAATCAAAATTCATATCCATCAATGAATCATTCCACCATTGATGATGTTTCTAATCCATATTATCTTCACCACTCGAACAGTCCACATCTTGTCATGATTTTGCAACATCTGACTGGTGAAAATTACACATCATGGAGTCGTGCTATGACTATAGCACTTTCAGTAAAGAATAAGCTTGGTTTTATTGATGGATCTGTCATTCGACCAAAGGAAATGTAGATCTTCTCAACTCTTGGATCTGTAATAACAACATTGTTTTTTCGTGGATTCTCAATTCTGTTTCAAGGGAAATTTCAGCTAGCATTATATACTCTGAATATGCTCATGAAATTTGGCTTGATCTTAAGGAATGATTTCAACAGATGAATGATCATCGAATTTTTCAATTAAGAACGGAGTTAATGAATCATACACAAGGTCAATTGTCTATTAGTGCTTACTTTAAATGAATCATACACAAGGTCAATTGTCTATTAGTGCTTACTTTACTAAGTTGAAGACTATTTGGGAAGAGCTTAGTAATTATTGACCTTCATGTTCATGTGGAAGTGTAATTGTGGGGGAAATAAAAAATTGGCTGAACACTACCACATGGAATATGTTATGTCATTTTTAATGGGTTTAAATGAGTCATATGCTTAAGTTAGAGGACAATTATTACTCATGGATCCAATTCCACCAATCAATAAAGTGTTTTCATTGCTGAGCTGTAAATGTGACTGTTGGAACTACTGATTCCTTGGCCTTTTATGCTAGAGATGATGTTAAAATGACCAAGACGGGGCTGTCTTATAGTAAAAATCAGAAGAAAGAAAGGTCTATTTGTACCTATTGTGGATGTGTAGGTCATGTTGTTGATAGATGCTACAAACTCCATGGATTTCCACCAGGATAAAGTCAAGGCAAAAATCCAACTCAACTAATCAAATATGATCAAGTTCAAGCAACAAAACAGGTTATAATGTTCAGTCAAGTTATGCTATTGCTAATCAAATTTTTTATTCTATTCCAAATAAACCCATTTGCAATGTTAGAAGCTTTGTACAAACATTGAATTCTGACCAATATTAGCATCTAATGAGTTTGTTGAGCACACATCTTACGGATGAAAATGTGGAAGATGAAGGTGTTAATTCTGGTCATGTATCAGGTACATGTCTTTCCATTTCCATTAACCAAATACTCAATTCTCCTGCACATTGGGTACTAGATTTAGGGGCAACCAGCCATGTCTGTTTCAATCATGCATCTTTCCAAACATTGAAGGTCATACAGAATTTTTACATCACACTACCTAACCATATTAAAATCCCAATACAATTAGCTGGAACTGTTAATCTAACTCTTGAATTAATTCGTGAAGATGTATTATTTGTACTTCTGTTCAAGTTCAACATGTTATCCATCAGTTCTTTGACAAAGAACTCAAATATAAGCATCAAAATTTTCACTTATCATTGTGATATTCACGACATATGCAGCTTGAAGATGATTGGCAAGGCTAAAAGAATTGGTGGTATTTACATCATTGGTGCAGTATCTAGTGAGTTGAAAAATGAATGTAATCTTTCTAAAGTCGTCTATAATCCTTTTTTCTGTATTGAATAACATGTTTGGCACAATCGACTTGGTCATTTGTCCTTTAAAAGGTTGGAAACTTTGAAATATCAGCTACCTTTTAAGAATGATAGATGTATTGTACCTTGTTATATCTGTTAATTGGCTAAACAAAGAAGGTTGTCATTCATATCAAACAACTATTTATCTGTCAATGCCTTTGATCTCATTCATTGTGATACTTGGGGCCTATACAGCTCTCCAACACGTGATGGTCACAAATTTTTCCTCACGTTAGTCGATAATTGTAAGAGGTTTACTTGGGTTTATCTAATGAAGAATACATCAGATGTTCATACCATTATTTCCAAGTTTTTCAGCCTCATCGAAACACAGTTTCGCAAAGTTATTAAGGTTTTTAGATCAGATAATGCTCCTGAATTACATTTCACAAAGTTTTTCATTTCAAAAGGCGTACTCCTTCAATTTTCTTGTGCAGAACGACATGAGCAAAACTCAGTTGTTGAAAGAAAACATCAACATTTGCTTAATGTAGTAAGGAAACTATTTTTCAGGCACAAGTTCCTATATCATTTTGGGGGTGTTTGTGTCCTCACAGCAACATTTCTAATCAATCAAACTCCTTCCCCAATTTTACAAAATAAAACACCATTCACTTTACTTTACAAATCTCCAGTGGACTACAGTTTTCTTAGAGTATTTGGTTGTGCTTTACATCTACTCTTACATCTCATCACCTAAAGTTCCATCCTATAGCAAAAGCCTGTGTGTTTATTGGTTATCATCCTAGCATTAAAGGTTACATATTATATGATATTGTTTCCAAAACAATTTTTGTTTCCAAAGATGTGATCTTTCATGAACAAGTTTTTCCTTTTAATTCTGTTTCGAAAACTCCTGATTTTATTGATCAATTTTTCCATCTTGTTCTGCCCAATCATATTCCAGATACACATCCTTATGTTCTTCCTGTCATTGATGTGTCCCCTAATTGTTCTACAGCCTTAGATCCTCCTGCCACTTCACCTCCTCAAAATCTTCCTCCCACTTCACCTTCTCCAGATCCTCCAGCCACATCAGTTATTCATGCTAACCCAACTATCAGAAGATCTCTTAGACATAACAGGCCTCTCTCATACTTACAAGATTTTTATTGTAATCTTTTATCTCACACTACCACTCCTATTGATGTATGCTCATGGGTGGACCTACACAGGGGCCTACAAGGGCACATGCCCCTATAGATTTTGGGTATTTTTTCTTATAAATTAAATATAAAAAGAAAAAAAATCTAAACCTACCCTTCATTCTCCAGACTCCAGCATCCCCGCCTCTTCTCCAGCAGCCCCAAGCCCCTCTTCATTCTCACCATCCAGCAGCTGCAGCTCCCAACTCTCTTCGATAGGCTCGACTCCTCTCCATTCTCATCCCCCAGCCCCGCCTCTTCTCCCTCTAGCAGCCTGCAGCACATTGTCTTGTCTTCCTCCACCTGCAATGTCGCTGTCTCGCTTCCTCCAGCAGCCCAGCCCCGATTCTTCTTCTCCCTCCCAAATCTGAAATTAAATCTGGTGTTTTTGCCCCTGCAACCCTACTGCCTGCTGTTCGAAGCTCCAAGTCTCCAACGGACCAACTCCCGTTTTCGTTTCCAAGCTCCAACCGACCAACCCCCTGCGAGGTAAGTTCCCATTTTTCTCTTTGTAACGAAAGTAATGATTATGGATTTAAATTATTTAAGGATTTTTCTGTGTGTGAATGTGTGTCTGTGAATCTGTGAT